CCCCAAAACCCCAAAACCCCATCACATAAAATCATAGCTATAAGGTTTGAAGATATTTTTTGATAATTAACTCAATATATAAATAATAATTTAACCAAATAAACTAATTTAAGAGGAATCCATAACACTGTAATGGAAGAAGATCCAATAAATTTCTGTTAATTAATTGAAGAAAGAAAGCAGTCGACTAGAAATAGAAAGATTGCTGCTCAGATAATGGACAGTATTGAATAATTAGAGAGCGAGCCTGCAGCAGTAAAGAGATGGGTATGGGAGCTTATCTAAAACGCCTAGGATTCAGTTTATGAAGGTACTAATGTCAGAATCAAAATAGAATTAGATTCTTAACATCTTAGATTCTATCACACAGGCAGACCATTTTTCCTCATTGATCTATTGAATTTGATTGAACAAGGATCAAATAAATAGAGACCTTAATACAATCTAAATATGCAAAATACCCAAATTAACTTGAAATCACCATAAGATAATGCAGGTACCAATTAAAATCCTGAGGAGAAATAGATAATAAGTCTTAAGGATTTTATGGTGCCTTAAACAACTGGAAGATTTGGAACAGGATTTCTCACAACTTATTTACTATCTAAATGCCTAGAAGTGTAAGGTATATTTCACTTCAATGAAGAGGGGTAGAACAACTTTAGAAATTTCAAATTGAATCTGAACCGAGACACCTACGATTTAGATAAAATGATTGAACTTAATAGACAATCATTCGATTTATTTAAGGATTTAAACGATCATACTAAGAGTCCTATTCTTAAGGAATACAAACCTGGCTAAGATTTTGATACCTGTTTTACATATGAATTAAAGGAAGAAGGTGTTAAAAATGCTTAGGAGGGGTTGAAAAGTCTTGCACTAGCAGCACCTTATGTACTATCTTTCAGTAAGAGGATAGAATCTTTTGAAATAATCAGTAAGATTGATAATTCAGACCATATTTTAAGAATCAATCGTAAGCCAATTATGGAAGAAGATAACATAGCTATAATAAATTATCATGAAAACAATGAATAAAGATCAATAATGAGAGTTAGAGGTACTTATTCTTAATTAGGTGTTGAGATTAAAAAGAATTGAATTAATACTTATGAGATTGTAGATAAAAGCAGTGAGATACCAAATTTCTTTGTGGACTACCCACTGATCGGTTCAGAGAATCTAAATTTCTCAGTAGTTTTTAATTCTCATTTGTTCTATCCAAATGAAAAAAGATCTGGAATTAGTCTCGAAAGGGGGCCAAAAGCAATGGTAAATAGAGAGTTAATGCAAGAATGTCAAAAATTGTTTGATCAGTTTTTGAATTTTGTAATCAAGAATAAATATACTGGTTTGAATTGCTTGAGGTTGTAGCTGAATAAAAACTAAGTTATCTGCGATTTTTTGAAAAATATTTTGATAGATCCAATCATAAAATAATTTGTTGCTTAACCTATCATTGAGAGTCAAAAAGGATTCATTAAGCTTAAAGATGCACTATTTCCAAATATAGAAAAAGAATCAATTGAGATAGATGATAAAGATAAAATGATGCAATTATGGGAGATCTTATCAAAGATTTACAGTTAAAAAGGATACCTTATTAAGTAAGATTTTGATTATATCAAGAGCTGGATTTACATTTTTGAGGATCCTGTTTGGAAAATTCATTTAGATTAGAAAAATTATATAAAGATTAATGAAGCAATCGCATATATAGACAAAAGTGCAAAAAGTGTAAAAGAGCTAAAAAAATAATATCGTCTGACTTATACAGATGTGCAAGATTTAATGAAGAAACTTTACGAATATATTAGTAAGCACTATACTTCCTTCTAGCTGAAGACTTTGATTTAAAGTTATTCAATTTTTGTAAATCAAAATGGTAAACTCTGTAAATGTGATGCTTTACATTAAGATGACGACATAGAAGAAATTTATAAAGACTTAGTCGAACGGTATGGATATAATTTAAGAAAAAAACTTCTTTCAAAAGATTTCACAGTGCCGTTTGAAAATGATTTTAAGAAGTATAATATCGATACACTTAATAGTGAAATTACAGAATCCATAAAAAGCACTCTTAGCTATTTAAAGGAATGCAAATAGAATAATAAGAAATCTCTAGTTAATAAGAGTAAATATTCTGTAGCGCCAGTCAAGAAGCAAACTAAACTTAATTTAAGCTCATTAAATAGCATTGAGGAACTATCATTTAGAATATTAGGGTTATAAAGGACATACGTCTAAGAGTATGATATTCTCTTTACTGACAAAATTTTAAAACAATAAAAAGAAGATGAAGTAAGAGATCAAATAATAGACTTGCTAAGCAAAACTAGCCTTCATGCTAATATAGAAATGTAAATAGTATAAAATATACCCTAATCAGCAAGAGATATCTCAATGGATGTAATTTGTTTCAAAATCAGAAGTGAAATCTTATCTTGCACTAATAAGCTTGAAATTATGAACAAACTAAGCATCAAGGATGATATCTATGGATTCTTGAATTTATTTTATGGAATCGCTGAATAGAGATTCAAGCCAAGTTCTGCTTAAAAACTAATTGATTAAAAAATATTGCTTAATCAAAATGATAAGTTCTTCAGATTTGCAAAAAATTAAGAATAATCTGAGAAAATCATTACTATAAACATGCTAGAAGAAGACGAGAAAGTTACTGATAAGGAAGGTATTAAGGATATACTTTTAATTTACTTACTGTTCAAGAATACGACATTAGACATTTTCAATGAAAAGATAGTTCACTCAAGCTTATCATCAGAGAAGGCTGAAAAGATGATAGACTCCAACTTGAAGGAATATTTGAAATGCAAAGACATATGTTAAGTAGTAGATTAGATTTTAGTTAATAAATGCAGAGAGAAGGACTATCGCACAACAAATAAAGAGTTTATAATGAATTTTGATAGACTCTATTCATCTACTTTTATAGAGCAGCATAATGAGTAATTATTCCCACAATACACTAAGGAAAGGAAAGAAATTATAGTTGGATTAATACAGCAGGGAGAAAAGTTAGATATTATATTTAAGATTTATGAAAGCAAGCAACAAAATTTTTTGGACTAGTTGGTTAAGATATCTTAACATAACTATGCACAGCTACTAGAGATCATTAAGATATTTATAGATTATCATAATCCACCTGAAAACTTGAAAGACCTTATTTAGTATCTTAAAGAGAAGGAGATCAACAGAGTTAAAATTACAGATGTTATGAAGTTTCTCTAAAATAAATGATAGAAAGCTAGGATTGGTTAGTTGAAGGGTTGATATAATGAAGATTTAAAGATAAATATATATTTTTATTTGGAATAATGATTAATTTAATTGCAATTTAATACTTAGGTATGGGGTTTTGGGGTTTTGGGG